AACTCTGGACTCCGGGTCTGAACTCGGATCCTGCTGCAAAATAACCCAAAAAAGCCCTGAGCCCTGAACCCCAAAACCCTGAGCCCTAAACCCTAAACCCTGAGCCCTGAACCCTAAACCCTGAGCCCTGAACCCTAAACCCTAAACCCTAAAACCCTACACCGGAACATAGCAAGGATTTACGGATCAGGGCACGGAGAGGCAGAAGGCCCGGGCCTGTTCTCCGCCATGCCTTGCTCAGCGACATCGTAGTCTGCAGACCTGGGGTTTAGGGTTTAGGGTTTAGGGTTTAGGGTTTAGGGTTTAGGGTTTAGGGTTTAGGGTTTAGGGTTTAGGGGCAAGACTTGCCATCGGTTTAGGGTTTAGGGGTTAAGGGGTTTAGGGGCTCAGGGTTTAGGGTCTAGGGCTTTAGGTTTGGGGTTTGGGGTTTGGGATCGCTGCTCTGGGGTTGGGGCTTCGTGTTGGGGCAGCTTCGGGTTCAAAGCCTAGGGCTGATCCAAGCTTCCCGTTGAGCTACCACGGTTTAGGGTTTAGGGTTTGGGGTTTAGGGTTTGGGGTTTAGGGTTTAGGGTTTAGGGTTTGGGGTTTAGGCTTTAGGGTTACTGGTTTGTAGTTTGAGGGCCCTTAAAAGTATTCATGAATAGGTACCTCCATGGAAGCCATAAGGAAAATTGAGAAGCACCCTCCTATGAGATTCTTGCTCCAGGTTCTGGTGCCCACACGCGTCTGTAATTCCTGCATGCTTGCGGCTGCATCCGACTCGGATTCTGTGCCCATGAAAGTGAAAGTGAAGGTGCCACCTGGGCTATCTACAATGCAGACAATCGCTGACTGCATGAAGAAATGGCGGTAACTTATATGTAGAGGTACTCCCACTTGCTAATTATCCAACCCTTCAAGGAACCTCTATAGCAACCCTTCCCTAAACCCTAAACCCAAAGCCCTGCATAGTAACCCTTAAGAGGCCCGCTCATCCCGAAACCGGGCTCCCCAATCCTGAACACTTGAAGCCGAAACCACAAACCCTAACACCCCAAAACCCTCAACCCCAAATTGGGCTTCGGGCTTAGGGTTAGGGTTTAGGGTTTAGGGTTTACCCTCATCCTTATAGAACTTCCGATAGTAACCCTTATATAAAGTAGCCCTTAGGCTAGGGGAACCGCCTGAAAGGGAACCTTCAAAAAAAGGAACCCCTCCAAAGATCCAGGTTGGAGAGCGCGTAGTATAGGGGCCGTAATGATTAGAAGAGGGTTTTGGGACCCATTATTATACTATAATAAGAAGAAGAATAGAAGTAATAATAATAGTGAACCCCAAAAATAGTATAGGTAATTATTTAGGCTTCTATAGTAGGGAGCCGGCCAGGTCTCGCCATCTTCCAGGTACGGCATGGCTCAAGAGAGAGTATCCTTCAGCTCAGGAGGCTTCTTTAGGGCCTAACTAGGGCTTAGGGTGAATGAGGCAGGTTAAGGGGAGTATCCTTCAGCTCAGGTGTCTTTTTTGGGGGTTTCGGGTTTAGGGTTTAGGGTTGTTATAAGGGTTTAGGGCTTAAGGGGTCAGCGCTTTAGGGTTGTTTAGGGTTTAGGGTGAAGGGTTTAGGGTTTAGGAGTTAGGAGTCGCAAGCCTGGTTCAGCGAGGAAGCTTTGGTGTGACTCTGGGGCTGAGGTGTTTCAAAGCTTGGGGCTTTGGGAGAAAGGGCTTTAGGGCTTCGTGTGTTTTCAGGCTGCGGGCTAGGAAGCCCTAAACCCTAAACCCTAAACCTTCAACCCTAAACCCTAAACCTTAAACTTTAACTTTCTCCGCAGGGCATCGTCTGCCTTCATTCCTGAAGAAGCAGGGCTGAAAGTGTTGGGCGACCTGAAGCACTGATGAACAAAGAACCCGGAACTATTCTGAACTCTACCCTAAAGCCCTTAACTCGTTTTGGGTTCCCGATATCTAGGTTGCTGCAATGAGCTCTCACCAAGGGCACTCTGGAAAGGCTTCAGAAACACTGTATGAATCGGAATTTACCACTAGCTCCACTTACAACGGATACAGTATACATGCTTGCATATGTATATGTATATATATGTTTATATATATTTATATACATATATATGTATATGTATATGTAAACATACATACATACATACATACATACATACATACATACATACATACCTACATACCTACATACATACATACATACATACATACCTACATACATACATACATAACATACATACATACATACATACATACATACATACATACATACATACATACATACATGCGTGCATACATACATACAGGCATACATATCGATCGCTCGTGTCGACAAGAAAGACAATGGATGTAGGTGTCTATGTTCGCAAATGCTTCCGAGCTGCCGGCAAGCCAATCTTCGCGAAGGGCTGTGAGCTGCTAAGCACGAGATGTGCAGCGAAGCTACATGTCGGCGCCTAATGCGCTTTGATCCAATCTGCGGTGAGGGCTCAGAGTTTATCAAGCGTTCACGGCTTTAGGATCTAGTATATAGGGTCCATGGCATGTAGTCTTCAGAGTAAGGATTGAAAGGGTGGAAACTTCGATGAGCCCTGATCCGAAGCAACTGTTCAAACCGACACGTAAGATTGGGCCTAGGGCTTGGGTAAACTGCACAACCTGAGGCACTGTGTCTGCACTTTAAGCCCTAGGCCCAAGTTTCCGACAATAAATCAACATCATAGAAAAACAACCGCAGTCTCAAGACAAAAATCCGAACCCCGAAGCTTTGGTCATAGATGCAGGGGTTGAGGGTTTGGGTTCTGATAACTCGTGGGGAGATTTTTGTAAAGCTCCAAATGATGGGAGGTTCATGAAATCCAAAAATGCACTGTAGGGATTGGGGTTGCTGGCTAAAGGTGTAGGGCTCTACTGCTGATCTGTCGGTGTCGATACCTCCGTCTCACTCTCGAAGCTTTTCCGGCATTGGGGACTTCCGCATGCAACCTTTGAGGAGGGGGTTCTATCTACTTCGGACCTCTTCTCCTGTAGACTATGCATCACGAGCCTCGGTCAGAAGCGAGACTGGCACCCTAAACCCTAAACCCCAAACCCAAAGTGCCTGCCTCGATTTAGGGGGCTTTGGGTTTAGTATCGGGGTTGCCTCACCGAAGGGAGAAAGAGGGCTGCAGTCTTTTAGGGCCCTTACAGGGTTCAGGGTTTATTGTTTAGGGTTTGGGGTTCAGGGTTTAGGGTTTAGGGTTGTGTAGGGTTCAGGGTTTAGGGTTTAGGGTTTAGGGTTTAGGGTGTAGGGTTCAGGGTTTAGGGTTCAGGGTTTAGGGTTTGGGGTTCAGGGTTTAGGGTTTAGGGTTTAGGGTTTACCTTACCACATCAGGCTGACACGTCAGGATCCGGCGCTCCGTTTTTCTAAGGGCTTTAGAAGGGACCCTTAGTAGGGACCCTTGTAGGTTATTGGGGTTAATATGGAGACTACCTGGCTATATAAGGGGTATATAAGGACTATACAATGGTTCTTTAAGGTGATGGGATTAAGGGTCCCTATTAGGGGTCCCTCCTAAAGCCCTTAGAGTTCTGCATCAACCAAGCTGTGGATCATCCGCTCCACCTAAGCAGAAGTATTCAAAAATGGGTCCTGGCCAGCCCTTCTGGCTGAGCAGGACGTGGGTCCCTGCGTTAATATCGGGGCCTTAATAGTTAGAATAGGGTCTTGGGGTAGATTATACTCTGATTAACCCTAAACCCTAAACCCTAGACCCCAAACCCTAAACGCCAAACCCTAAAAAGAAGAAAGAACCTCCCAAACCCTATTTCTAATTACTCAGGCCCCTATCTTTCGGCTGCCTCGAGGTTTGTAGCTCTGGTGTGGCAGGTTGACCACGGATGTCGGTTGGTCTGCTGATCACATGGCATTAGGGTTTAGGGTTTAGGGTTTAGGGTTTAGGCAGGTTGTGACTGCGAAGCTTGCTTTGTGGGTTGATTGCGGTTGAAAAAATCGTGTATGGGATGGAATTCTTACGATTCCAGGGACCCAGATACTCAAAGCATAGCAAGCGTCCTTCCAGCTACGGGGTAGCCACTGCAGCAGCACGAAAGCCACTGATGAAACCTGGAACCTATTTGCTCGCGAATCTCACACGGCTGCGGCAATGATGGCCTTCGGCGAGAGAAGCTTAAAACCTTAACCGCAAATCCCTGAAAACCCTTTAACCTCTCTAAACCCTATAAACCCTATGAGCCCTGTAAGCCCTAAACCCCTGCACACGAAACCCCAAACGCTAGAGAAGGGAGGCTCGTACCCAAAACCGCTGTACTGCCGAAGCCTAACTGAAAACATCCCACATTGGTTGAGCCACACGGTTGTGAGTTTTTGGGTTTAGGGCTCAGGGTTTAGGAGTTAGCGTCTTCAATACCCCGAATCCCTTCCCCCGCTGAAACACAAAGCCCTAGTCGAACCACTGCTTTAGTAAAACCTTATAGGGAACGGCTTAGGGTTTAGAGTTTAGGGCTTTAGGGCTTTAGGGTTTAGGGTTTATTTATATACGCATTATGCATGCTTTTATGTTGAGCCTGACGGCCTCAGAAAAAAGTCCTTGAAGAAGGCCCCAGGCCCCAAGAACTTACTTGTCGAGATACCTAGCGGAACCAGAGGGTCACAACCTCTGAGAATTGAAAAGGGTTTAGGGTTTAGGGCTTCAGGGTTTAGGGTTTAGGGTTTTAGGGTTTAGGGCTTTAGGGTTTAGGGCTTTAGGGTTTAGGGTTTTAGGGTTTAGAGCTTTAGGGTTTAGGGTTATCCCGAAACGGTCAACGTTACAAACCAAGGAAGGCTCGAGCTGGGACTTTGACGGTTCAGGGGCCATTGCGGGACGTTAGGCTCGGGCTTCAGGACTAGGGTGTAGGGCCTTTATATAATTACGGTTTAGGGTTTAGGGTTTAGGGTTTGAACACGGTTTTGGGGGGTACATTATACTAGAATTGTAATAAGGAGCCCCCAAAATAGTACAGGCAATCCTAAACCCTAAACCCTAAACCCTAAACCCTAAACCCTAGATTAAGTCACTCTGGAATCTTGAACCGCACAGGTTTGGGGCTTATAGGGTCTAGGGTTTCCAAAACAATCTGGCTAGCCGAAGCCTAGGCCCAAAAAGCCTAAATCCAAAACCCAAGGGTTTAGGGTTTAGGGTTTAGGGTTTAGCCGACCACTGCCAACCACCACATCGCAACACATCAAACTACATATAAAACAATAACTCAGGAGACCTAAACCCAACGCAACCTCCAGCCAGAGATCCAAAACAGAAGCACCCAAAGACAAGGATCCAATACGACAACACCAAGAACAACCCTGAACCCAACAAATGAAACCAAGAAACTCGAATCCCTTGGACAAAAGCCTGACCAAACAATCCTAAGAGCCAGAAACCCGTAACCGCCCTCCTTCCGGGAAAAGTGAAACAACAGGACCCCATATGGAAACTAAACCCTAAACCCTAAAACCTAAACCCTAAACCCTAAATCTTTGACGTCTTCGGGATGGATTTGGGCGTTTAAGGTTCCCAAGCCCGAAACCCTAAACCCTATAAACGCTAAACACAAAGCCCTAAGCCCTAAACCCGAAACCCTAAACCCTAAACCCTATAAACGCTAAACCCTAAGCCTTAAGCCCTAAGCCCTAAATCCTGACCCGGAAGCCGATGGTAGCCCGGAAGTGACCGGTTTAGGCTTAGGGGTTTAGGGGTTTAGGGGTTTAGGGTTTGGGGTTTAGGGCTTGGGGTTGAGAGTTTGGGGGTTAGTGTTCAGGGTGCAAGAAACCTACAAAAACTGCTAAGACTGGTACTGAGGATTTCTGTCATAAGTCCACTGTACTTTTCAACGACAGCCTATTCTCAAATTCGTATGTAAGGTTTGGGATTCCGCATGCACTCTGCAGGCTTTGGCACTGGGCCATGGGGCGCGCGCCTGTTGTTCAAAAGCTCGGCATCAGAAGCTCGCACTCACCTCCTGGCAATGCGAAGGCTTTGGGGTTTCATGTTTGCTGGTTCATAAGTCCTTGTAGCAACCCTGACAGGGTTCCTTATAGGAACCCTTAATGACCCTCAGCCCTAAACACGAAGCCTAAAGGAACCCTTAAAGGTACCATAAAAGGAACCCTTGTAGGAACACTTCAAGGATTTCCTTCTAGGGACCCTTAGAGGGACCCTTTTCCCTAAGGGTCAAAGTACCTGATAATCATGTACTCTCCGAAATAGTAACCTACATAACTACCATCCGAAACCTAAGTACCTAATTATTGGGTCCTTTGGACCCCTGGAGTAAGGCTTAAGCCCTAATCCCTAACCCTAAATCCTAAACCCTAAACCAGTCAGGCAGGCGTAGACTTGGTCGTCGAGTTGGCGCCACTTGCGGC